TGTAAAGCCATTCAGACTCAAATTCACCGCAGGCACAGCTGAGAATTGCCATGCTAGTATTCACCTCATGTATGCTAAGCAGGTAGCCCCCAAAAAATCTTTTTTGGGGGAGGGGGAGATGGAATGATGAAGGCTTGTGCAGGGAATAGAAGGAAGACCCCCAATGGCTTTTGATTTCAGGAGGAGACTAATGCAGGAGACATGCCTGGATGCTTAAAAGCCTGTGGTGTGACCTACAATGAACAAAAGACCGCTATGGCAAGTGTGGTAGCCCCATATTCTGCAAAAATCTTCTAATACTGAAATGCTGCAACAGTTCTGTTCTTCACAAACCTCTCCCTGGACTTCCTCCTGTTCTCTCCACTGATTCATAACCAAACCAGGCTTGTATGCAAGCACTGGTGGAGATGGGTAAGGAGGACAAGTTTCAACCCTTTGAGAAGGACCATGCCGTGCAGGGCATCAGACACGATCCTTGGCATCCCTTTTTTCCTTGCATTTTGGGAATCAGCCAAAATTAGAAAAAACAGAAAAGCCAAAGTGGGAATCATTTCTCTGCTCTGCATGTTGGAATGAATTTGGTGGGGATGGAAAGGAGTCTGGATGTGGACCTTTTCTTATGATCCATACCCAAAACATAAGACTGAGAATAAGGTAGTGAGCATTATTAATTTGGTTAATAATTCCTACCATATGTTTATTCATGACATTAATGCTTTGAGTACCTGAAAGCATGCCAGGCATTTTAAAGAAGCAATGAAGGTTTCCTGCTGTCAAGAACTGCCCCCATTTTGCAAAGACCTGACACCTGGGAGATTTAAGCTTGGGTTCATCTCAGCCACATATAGACAACTGACGTTTGGTCTATACAGTCAGCTGGGAGAAGGCACCCACCAGCACTTCTGGCATGAACTGCCCAGGGATTATCTTTTCCTGGCCTTTGGGGACTGCATTCCCAGTTTCTGTGCTCCAGTTAGCAGGGACACCCCCCAGAGTGTGAAATCTGGGGAATCCCTGTGAGAAGAGGCTGCCCAGACACCAGGAGCCTGTGGCAGGACTGTGGGGTGCAATGCTGTGTGTACCTCTGTGCTCTGCTCTCCTCTCACACCCCAGATGATAGGTTTTTTGGGGGGACAGGATGACAAGGGGGGCTTTTTGCCCTTCTTAAGGACCAGTGAGTGCCATCCCCCATTTGGCTGCCAGTAGCCTGAACCAAGCACCTGGGCTGGTCCTGGTGGCATAGGGCCAGCATGAGGTGACCAGCTGTGGACTCTAACAGGCTTTAAATGTGTCGGTGGCTGGGAAGGTGAAGGATACGGCTTCCAACGATGCATACAAATGGATCCTCAGTATGGGCCTTCTCAACGGGGACAGTGAGCTGGCACAGGAGCTGAGAGAGGAGCATCTTCAGGAGGGTGAGGACCAAAGGGCCGTACTTACCCCAGGTGCACTCTCTCAGCCTGAGAGAGCTACAGGGGATGCCGTTATACACCAATAATGCCCATGAGTACGTTTATGTAGGTCCATTGCTAATTTTATGATGTGTCTACACCCTTGCCCTGTCCACAAAATCACTGACACCCTCGCCCCCCCCACCTCGCGCTATGTCAGACGTAGCAAGCAGCCCACGCATGCAGAGTTCACCTAAATTCACCCGGCAGCAGCATCCCAATCATGAAACTTCTAGGAAAGGAAAAGTAAAACAAAGGTCTGATGGATACTTGCGCATGTTTTACCTATGAGAGGAACGAAATAAAGTAGCGTGCTTTCAGAGTTGTGGTGAATCGCTCAGAAACAATCTGCAGACATTAACAGAATTGTATTTCTGGGAAAAAAAAAAAAAGAAAAGGAAAATGCAGGCCCTGGGATATCCCTTTATGGCATATGCATTTTATGTTCAAATGCATTAATGGGACTGCTATGCTATGAGTCATCCTGCACAAGAGTTTCATGTGTTTCTTAAAATACACTAGAAGTAGCTGAAGGCATGCAGGGGTTTGCCGTGCAGTTATCTATCAGGAATCTGAGCGAATACCTGCACGCGTGGCATCACGGGCTTCAGAGCTGGGGGGGGCCCCGTGCCGGTCCCTCTCTGCTGCTTTAACAGGCCAGGGTTGGGAAAGCCAAAACAGGGTAGGAACTGATCCTAGAGAATAACAAAGCGCAGGCTCCCTGTGTTATTAGGGAAGCCTCAGCACTGAATTACAGAAAATTTGCATATATGTAAACAGAAAAGCTGGAGAGTTTCCTTCTGAAGCACTCTTGTCAAAACTACAGCTGTCTGCATTTTTTCTAGGGATGATTTGTTGTCTGGTTTTCTCTCATTTTTCTTCCGTTTACTAACAGCCCTGGCTGCAAATCTGTTTACTATTCCTTTAAACCCACACTTCTGAGCCCGATGGTGGCTGTTGAGCTCGACTCTCTGCTCCTCACAGGTCACTTTGGCTGCTGGCTGCTGCTTGCTCTCGATGCTATTCCTTTTTCGGAGAGCAGACAGTTTTAACATGGAAAACGCCCAATGCGAAGTATTTCTGATGGTGCACGTTCACGTTCGTGAACGAACGGTGGTAAATAACAGCTTCGTGATGCAAACCTTGGGATGAACGATCGATATTTAGCGATTAGTGAAAAGCAAAAATTGGGGCTGGGGAAAAGCGTGGCAAATGTGTAAAGGAGAAGCTCCTGGGAATGGAGCTGGGCTCGCTTTCTCCCCACAGTTAGCCGGGCTTAACTTTTTGTTTTTACACACGGCACGAGGCGATGCTGTCTCGAAAGCACTACAGCGGCATTTGAAATTTCTGGCACCGTTTCCCAGCGGCACACGCTGGTCGTGGATAAACCCGCTGCTGCCATTTCCAGGGCTGCCTTTGCAGAGGAGACGCTCATCCTTCGGAGCCGGTGACTTTCTTACCGCTTAGCTTTGCTAGAAAACGCTCCCTGCCTCTGTCTTTGTGCTTACAAGAGGGCGGTGGAGGCTTGAGGGTTTTGCAAGCACGCTGGGCTTGCCAGGGGCGAACCCCGAAAGCAAGGGGTGACCCCCGAGCGCTGCCATCCTCAGGAGTCGGAGTCGGACACGAGATGTCCTTGCTCCAGACCGGCTGGGGGACCACGGGAGGGGGGCCGGGGCCGCCGCGG